TGTGTGAGAGTGTGTGTGTGTGTGTGTGTGTGTGAAATTGTGAGTGTGTGTCTGTGTGTGTGTGTGACGACAATGAAGTTTGTTATTCGTCACTTGTGATGGGTGTTAGAGAGTTACAATAACACACAGTGCTTTCAGAAGTACAGCCTGTGACTGTTCATGAAACGAGACGCCGTTTGCGTCTTTGTGTCCAATTTAGGTCGAGCGCTTCAATAACATCGCTTTTCCTTCAGATCTACTGATATTATTACATCTGAGTTGTTCCATGCAAGCCACATTCTAATAAAACAAAAGCACCCAGCAAAAAGTACATTGTTATTATCTTGGTAGTACACTAGAGCTCAAAAGTCTGTAATAATTACGATTTTTAATGTTTTTGAAAAAAGTCTCTTCTGCTCACCAAAGCTGCATTTATTTGATCTGAAATACATTTAAAAAATCTGAAAAATTATTACAATTTAAAATAAGTGATTTATATCTTAATATATTTTAAAATGTAATTTATTTTTGTGATGCGCATCTGTATTTCCATCATCATTACTCCAGTCTTCAGTGTCACATGATCTTCAGAAATCATTCTAATATGCTGATTTGCTGCTCGAGAAACATTTCTGATTATTATCAATGTTGAAAACTGTTGTGCTGTCCAATACTTTTGTAGAAACGGTGATATATTTTATTTTTTAGGACTTTTTGATGAACATAAAGTTCAAAAGAACAGCATTTATTTGAAATAGGAATCTTTTACAATGTTACAAATGTTTTTTACGGTCACTTTTGATCAATTTAATGTATCCTTGATGAATAAAAGTATGAGTCTCTTTCAAACAATGATAAAATATTGTGGAGCACAACAGTTTTCAACATTGATAATAATCAGAAATGTTTCTTGAGCAGCAAATCAGCATATTAGAATGATTTCTGAAGATCATGTGACACTGAAGACTGCAGTAATGATGCTGAAAATACAGCTGCGCATCACAGGAATAAATTACAGTTTAACAGATATTCACATAGAAAACAGTTAATTTCAATTGTAATAATATTTCAGATTTTTACTGTATATTTGATCAAATAAATGCAGTCTTGGTGAGCATTTAAAAATCTCAATAATTCCAGACTTGGGTTAGTGTAGGCCCAATTAATTGTTTATAACATGAACACTTATTAAATACATTTTAATGTGCTGTTTTCTTACATGCTGAGCGTGTTTTTCCACAGATATGTGAGAATATTCCAGAACGTGGATCTGTCCAGTAACTTCTACTTCAGGTGAGTGCTGAACTGAAGCGTGCGATCGTGCATCTGTTCGTCTCAAAGCCCTTTAGAAAGAAAGAAAGCGTCCCATATTCATAATGCTGTGACCTCCAATCACTTCCCAGATCATTGTAATGGTAATAAGATTTAATGAGCTCCTCAGATTATTTGTCCTTTTCCTCCTTGTTTCTTCTCACCGATCTGTCCGTGACGTTTTCTTCATAAAACAGTCGCTTGGTTTTAGCAAAGAATAGTGTTGAAGCAGCTGAAGTCATTTGTCAACCAGTCAAATAATAATAGAAATAATCAGACCGCGGTCCTAAAACCCGTCTGAACACTTATAAATGCCTGAATGTTGCATTAGATCACAAAATATATCAAAGCAAGTGTCATTTATTCTCAAGAAAGATCACAAACTCATTTTAAAGGCAGACATTTGACAGAAAAATCTTGAGGATTGATGCAAATGTATCTTCTTTTTTGTTTGGTTTCATCATCTTGAAAAAAAAGAGTATTTGTATGAACTTTAATGTCAGAATTTAATGAGACCTTCTTCATTAATTAATCTCTGGAGAGTAATAAATTAATAAGTAAATAAATAAATAGATACATGTATGTATGTATGTATCATTGATATTGCTATTATAGATTTAATTTCTATTTATTTTTATTTATTTTATTTATTTGTATATTTTCCATTTTTAACTTTAATTTTCATTTTTTCAAATTATTATTATTAGTATTATTTTAAATATGTCTACATATGTTTTTATTAGTTTTAGTTATAGTGTGTGTGTATATATATATATATATATATATATAAATATATATTTTTAGTGTATTATTTTTACATGTTCACAATAAAGTTATGCATTCATTCATTAGTTATTTTAGTACTAAAACTAAATAAAATTTAAACTAATCGAAAATGAGAAATGCTGCCTTGGTAAAATAAGTTTAAGTTTAATGTTAAAGTTTATATTTTATTTCAGTTGACATTTTTGTTTCAAGTAACACATTTTTATTTTAATTTTTTATTTTTTTATGGTTTTAGTTTACTACATATGTAGATGTAGAATAAATATGTATACAATTTATAAATATATATTTATACAGAATTAATGTATAAAAGGTTGACAAAAAAATTAGGAAAAATAAATAAATTGCTATAATATGGATTTAATTTATCTACTTTTGAATAAATTGGTAGATCTGGGAAAAATATCATTCATCATTCGCAAAAAATCATTCACCCTTATTGATCTGAGCATATCATCATCATCATCATTATTATTAATAATAATATATATATATTTAACCATGAGTTTTCATGTGGTTCTATATTTGATTTATTAATGAGGTCATTACATATATACCACTGATCAAATCACCTCATTAATCTCCCTCATGTTAATTAATTAATTAGCTAATTAATTTCCCTCATGTTGGCTGTACTTTAATCTTCGGTTGCCAAAACTTTCACATTAATACAGTTTGACCTACAAAATAGCAAAGCAAGCAAAAGTTAATTAGTTAGTTAGTTTTGTGATTTCAGCAGGAAAGTCTAAACGTGTTTGCTTCAGAAGTTTGGTTGTTTTGTGTCCCGCTGGTGAATAAAGGAAACAAGAAAAGAGCGCTGAGAAATTGAACACGCGTCACGTTTATGTTGTACGTGGACGGCGTCTGTAAACGAGATGACGTCTTGTGGGAAGCTGAAATAATTGCATGTGATCGCTGATGAACTTCGAGTTCATTCCGTGCGCTTCATCGCTTAGCAACATGCGGTCTGTCACCTAGCAACAATGAAAGCTGCTTCCTGCTGCTCAACACAAATGAGCAGTGTTGATCAATCTGAGCGTGACCCTTTGACCCTGTGACCTTTAGTTACAGCTACGACCTGAGCCACTCGCTGCAGTGTAACATGACGCTGCTGCAGATGCCGTGTGACGCCGGAGAGAGTGAGGAGCTCAACACCAGCGGCATATTTTATTTTTAAATTAAATTAAATTAATTATTATTTTATATTTATATTTGATATATCTTTTCAGAATCAGAATTAGCTTTATTCGACAAGCGTGTGCAAACACAAGGAATTTGTTGTGGTTTTTTAGGAGCTCTTTTTACAGATATACATACATATATGACATGAGAACAGAAATAACAATTAAATAAGTAAGAAATAACAATAAAAAAAATAAATAATAATAATAATGTGGTAAACATATATTTATAGCGCTTTTGGTTTTTATTTATTTAATGATCGCTGATGAACTTCGAGTTCATTCCGTGCGCTTCATCGCTTAGCAACATGCGGTCTGTCACCTAGCAACAATGAAAGCTGCTTCCTGCTGCTCAACACAAATGAGCAGTGTTGATCAATCTGAGCGTGACCCTTTGACCCTGTGACCTTTAGTTACAGCTACGACCTGAGCCACTCGCTGCAGTGTAACATGACGCTGCTGCAGATGCCGTGTGACGCCGGAGAGAGTGAGGAGCTCAACACCAGCGGCAGACAGGACAGCTTTGACATCTTCGAGGAGGAGGGACTCCCCACTCCAGGTTTTATTTTATTTTATTTTATTTTATTATTTTTATTTTATTTTATTTTATTTTATTTTGCTTTTGGTTTTTATTTATTTAATATTTTTTATTATTTCTATATAATTTGTTTGTTTTGATAATTTTCTTTCTTAATTTATATATTTTATGTGTTTCATAGCATTTTGGGTTTAATTTTAATTTTTATTATTTTCTTTATTTTATGTATTTATATTTAATATATATTGTATAGCACTGTATTTTTTATTTATTTTGTTTTATGTTATTTTCTTATTTTTTAATTTCATATATTGTTAAAACAATTCTTTTAACTATTTGATTTTCTTTTATTATTTTTTATATTCTATTTTATTTTATATATTTATATATATATAGCAGTCTTGGTTTTTATTTATTATTTTATATTATTTCGTTTTTAAATATATTTTATTATTATATTTATATTTTATATCGCCCTTGGGATTTATTTTATATTTTATATTGTTATGCATTTATATTTTAAATATTTAATTTCGAACACTTTTTGGTTTTATTTGATTATTTTCTTATTTTATATACTCATATTTTATAGCACACTTGGGTTTTATTTTATATAATTTTATATTATGTTATTATTGTTATTTAATTTTTTTATTTATTTTTCAAGGTCTCAACTCTGGCATTTTTGGACCTTTTTTGTTTCTTTTCTTGTTTTAAAGAACTGCCTTGATTCCAGTTATTTTATTTTGTGTGTGAATTATTAATTGGGGTGTTTGTGTTTCAGTTGTCCACGGTTTGATTAATGAACCCTACGCTAAGTATGTGTGGAACGTCCGTCTGCTGGAGAAAGTCAAGGACATCGTCCATCCTGATTGGCTGCTCTACATCATTCACGGCTTCTGCGGCCAATCCAGTATCCTCTGATGTTACATTGTATAGATAATATTCGGTTGTTGTGTCCGCTGGCTCAGATTCGTCTCCGTGACCGTCTGTAGTGCATACGGATGTTTTCATGACCCTGCTTCTGACCCCAGAGTCAGACAAAGCAAAGTCTCGTTTCACACTGATACGTGTGTGTTTGTGTGTGTGTGTATGAGATACAGCAATAGAAACAGCATCCATGAACTGAATGTAACAGCAATATTCACGCACAGTGTAGTCAGCATTCTCGATTTATCCTGGGAGTGATCTAGTTTTACAGTTGCTTTCCACATATGCTGCAAAAATACACCTAAAACCTACTTATTTTTTTTTTCGAATTTTTTTATGTACCCTTCTGCAAAATGCTATTGAAACCGATTTTTTTTTTTTTGTACCCTGTAAACATATATTTATAGCGCTTTTGGTTTTTATTTATTTAATATTTTTTATTATTTCTATATAATTTGTTTGTTTTGATAATTTTCTTTCTTAATTTATATATTTTATGTGTTTCATAGCATTTTGGGTTTAATTTTAATTTTTATTATTTTCTTTATTTTATGTATTTATATTTAATATATATTGTATAGCACTGTATTTTTTATTTATTTTGTTTTATGTTATTTTCTTATTTTTTAATTTCATATATTGTTAAAACAATTCTTTTAACTATTTGATTTTCTTTTATTATTTTTTATATTCTATTTTATTTTATATATTTATATATATATAGCAGTCTTGGTTTTTATTTATTATTTTATATTATTTCGTTTTTAAATATATTTTATTATTATATTTATATTTTATATCGCCCTTGGGATTTATTTTATATTTTATATTGTTATGCATTTATATTTTAAATATTTAATTTCGAACACTTTTTGGTTTTATTTGATTATTTTCTTATTTTATATACTCATATTTTATAGCACACTTGGGTTTTATTTTATATAATTTTATATTATGTTATTATTGTTATTTAATTTTTTTATTTATTTTTCAAGGTCTCAACTCTGGCATTTTTGGACCTTTTTTGTTTCTTTTCTTGTTTTAAAGAACTGCCTTGATTCCAGTTATTTTATTTTGTGTGTGAATTATTAATTGGGGTGTTTGTGTTTCAGTTGTCCACGGTTTGATTAATGAACCCTACGCTAAGTATGTGTGGAACGTCCGTCTGCTGGAGAAAGTCAAGGACATCGTCCATCCTGATTGGCTGCTCTACATCATTCACGGCTTCTGCGGCCAATCCAGTATCCTCTGATGTTACATTGTATAGATAATATTCGGTTGTTGTGTCCGCTGGCTCAGATTCGTCTCCGTGACCGTCTGTAGTGCATACGGATGTTTTCATGACCCTGCTTCTGACCCCAGAGTCAGACAAAGCAAAGTCTCGTTTCACACTGATACGTGTGTGTTTGTGTGTGTGTGTATGAGATACAGCAATAGAAACAGCATCCATGAACTGAATGTAACAGCAATATTCACGCACAGTGTAGTCAGCATTCTCGATTTATCCTGGGAGTGATCTAGTTTTACAGTTGCTTTCCACATATGCTGCAAAAATACACCTAAAACCTACTTATTTTTTTTTTCGAATTTTTTTATGTACCCTTCTGCAAAATGCTATTGAAACCGATTTTTTTTTTTTTTGTACCCTTCTGCAAAATAGTTTTATTTTATTTTATAAAATAAAATTATTTTAAATGTATTAAAATTTTTATTATTATTATTATTTATTTTTTTTGTGCCCTTCTCCTAAATATGTTTATGTACTCTTCTGTAAAATACAATTTTACAAAAATTACTTATTTTATTTAAACATTTATTTTTGTTTTAATTTGTAACGTACTGAAAAATACAGTTAAAACCAGCAATTTTATTGTCTTTCATTAGTTTAATTTTAATTTTTAGTTTAATTTTGTATTTTTTTTATTTACCCTTCTGCAAAATACAAAAAGAAATCTACTTATTTTATTTTTCATTATTTTTTTTTGTTTGTTTTGCACCCTTAGCTAAATACATTAATCACTATTTTAAATAAAATACATAGATTATTTGTTTTTACAATTATTAATACATATTTAAAACCTATTATTTTATTTTATCCTGCAAAATGCAGCTAAAACCCACTTCTGATAGTATCGCATGGCTTCTAGCTGGTTGGGTTAGAGGGTTTATCAGCTCAACTACCTGCTAGTGAACCTGGTTTTGACCTGCTTGATCACCTTGAACCAGCAGCAAACTGTGTTCTAGAAAGCAACTTGATATGAGCTGTTTTTCCCAGCAGAAAGTTCAGGAGGGTCAAAACTGAACAAAAAGCGAGCTAAAGAAACACAAAGAGAGAGATAATATCATCCGGAGAGAGTCTGGCGCTGTTGATTGCTTGTGGTTTCTCCCTGTGAGGATCCTGAAGGAGAAGTGAACGAGTTCACAGCATTAAAGCAGACCGATGGAGACGCTGCCATTGAGTTCCGAATGATTTAATCACCTAATGCATTCATAGGAGCAAAATGTGACCCTGCAGCACAAAAGCAGTCTTAAGTCGCTGGGGTGTATTTGTAGCAATAACCAACAATACATTGTATGGGTCAAAATTATCCATTTTTCTTTTATGCCAAAAATCATTAGGATATTAAGTAAAGATCATGTTCCATGAAGATATTTAGTAAATTACTACCGTAAATTAAATCCTACCGTAAATATATCAAAACTTAATTTTTGATTAGTAATATGCATTGCTAAGAACTTCATTTGAACAACTTTAAAGATGATTTTCTCAATATTTAGATTTTTTTGCACCCTCAGATTCCAGATTTTCAAATAGTTGTATCTCAGCCAAATATCGTCCTATCCTAACAAACCATACATCAATGGAAAGGTTTTATTTAATTTAATTTTTTTATTTTATTTTGCAAAGTAGTTCAAACCTATTTTTTGTTTTATATTGCTTGTTTTTGTTTTGTTTTTGCATACTAAAGTAGAGAAGAAAAGCTGCTTTTTATTTCATTTCTAATTAACTTTATTTTATTTTTAAATAGTTTTTTTGTAACCTACTTTTATTTATTTATTTTTTTATTTTTTTTAATTAAAAATACCGTTATATTACAGATTTCTCATGAACTGGTCATTTGTTATTTTTCTTTTGCATGTAGGCCTGTCACGATAACAATTTTTTGCCACAGAAATAATTGCGATAAGCGACATTATTGTCATTTTAAGACCATTTTATGCCACTGAATATATAATCATAATATAACAGGATAATAAAGGCCTACACACTTCCAAATGACAACAAACTTTTAATTCTTAAGAATATTTAGATCACGGAAATTAAGTATCAAAATATTAGATACCTTAAAAAACCTAAATAAATAGTAAATAAACATTTTCTAACAAAAAGTGCAAAGTAACAAGTAGAAAAAAAGAAAACT